ATGCTGTCTGGTGCCTCCCTCACAGCGACGCCCCCAATCATCAGACTTATGACAGCAAAGGTACCTGCAGGTCATCGACACAAACGCAGCGCTATGATAGGCTGGGGTCAAAGCTGATGTCGAGTACAACGAGCGCTCAAACGCAGCACAGAAACTGCAGACTTGTGCTCGCACCGGCCTTTCCTCTCACCACCCTGTGACGGTAAAGGCCGTCCTGCCTCACACTTGAAAAGCAGCCCAATAATTTCCTCTCGTTCTCTGCCAGAGGGGACTGTCATCATTCCCACAGCAACCTGATGTCAGGCCAGATTTTGGCCAGCGGTGATTTACAATCTTTGCAGATTAGCTTCTCAGCTTCAAAGGGTTGAGCAGGTCTAGTTTATTGGACCCATTTGTTGGACGGATTTAAACTGACAATCGAGACAAGCGTGACAGCGTTGGAGAAAAGAAAGCAGCCAGATTGGTGAGACAACTGAGGCTGGGTTTAATGAAATCTGCTTATGTCAGTCTTTACGTAGTTAGAGGCAGCGAGTTTTACAATCCCAGTTGTGGAAGATGTTAGAAAGTGAAGTTTTACAACATCTGTCAAGCTCAAATTTTAAAAACCTTCCACAGGACACACGTTCTGAGGGGTTATAATGTTACAGTTTTTGCTGTTTTGTTTTTACATTTACTAAACTTTCGAATTCACAAAAATGATGTGGGTACATGCTGATTATCACTTAGGCTACGTTCACACTGCAGGCGAAAGCGCATCAAATCCGACTTTTCTGACCCTGTGCGACTCATATCCGATCATGGTGTGACAGTGTGAACGGCACAAATCCGACCTGGGTCACTTTCATATGTGGTCCTGAATCCGATACATATCTGATGTTTCAAAAATCGACTGCTGTTTGATGGTCATGTCGCATTAAATCAGTCTTTTACGTCACTGACACAAGACAGACGCCAATTATCAGCGCCGGAGAAGACATCGCGAACGTTTCCTGACCATCCCGTGAAACTGTTTGGAAGACAACGTTGGAGAAACGTGAACATTTTATTTGTACCGTATAATCTGCAGATTCTGACAGAAATCTATCCTCTGAAGCACTGCTCCTCTAAAACAGCAATAAGGATCATTATTAGGTTATCTACATTATTATGTAAATAACAAAATAACTTAAAGCAAAAATTGGGAAACATGAAGTCCGAAGTCTTTATATTAAGGTCATCAGTCAAACATACTGTTGCTCTGGGTCTAAACAGAGCGCGTTGTGTGTGACGTCTTCTTTTGCGCGTTTGCTGTCACATTTTATTTGTAGTGTGAATGAGCAGACAAAAGAATCGGATTTGATCAAAAAATCTGAATTGAGCATCAAGACCTGCAGAGTGAACATAGCCTAAGAGACTAAAAACATTTAAACCTGCTTGGATTGAAACCAGAGCACAAGGTTAAGCCTCTGTGGGCAGTATTTACTTTAAAGGTAGAGCCCCTAACCCTAATAAAATCATTAGTGGAGCTTGAAGACCTCGGTGGATGTCAGTCAAATATGAATGGAGTCTTAACATGACATCACTCCACACACACACACACACACACACACACACACACACACACACACCTCGTCTATCATGTGATAACGGGGTTTTCTTATTTGCTTTCAGAACCTGCACCTGTAGGTAGAGTTATCCACCCTCACGTGCACACAGACAGAGAACCACGGTACAAACTACTGCAAACAGAAGAACAAACTGTAACCTACAAAGTAACACAGCTGTGCACTGTGGGAGCAGAAGCCTTCGTCTGGAAGGCAGAAACTGAATCTCACTATGCAAAGTGTGTGAGACATGAAGCACTGTGGTTTAGTCTGTGGGACCACGGAGCTCTTTCAGCTCTTTCCGTTCTTCACAGAGAAATATCCAAACCATCGCACATACGAAGAGGACCACGAAGGTTTAATAAAAGCACAGTTGGCTTTAACAAAATGAAATGTAATATTTTTATCGCACCTGTCCTTTTTCAGGAAAACCTCTCCCACACACAGTTGCACTAAACCAAACATCACTGCAGCACTTTGGTGCTGTTCATCAAGTGTGCGCTGTCTGATGACAGGCTCATCTGTGTCTTATTCTGCCATAATGTGACGTGTTGTTTCCTCACCATGTGACAGTTTTACAGGAACACTTCCTGTTTGTGAGGTGCTTCATTGGGTCCAACTGTCAGAGGGACTCATAGGTCACAGCTGGCATTTGAGACTTGGACCCATTTCAAGGAAAGGAAGCTGTCACAGGGTGAGGTCGCTGAAATGCCTCCCGTGAAAGCTAAGCACACAGTTAGCACACATACAAACATTTCCTCCACACCTTTCATCTCATAATCTGAATCACTGTGTAACCCAGTACACCTCACAGTCACTACAGACACAGCTGTGTGGAAAGTGACTAGTCGCCTGCAAGACTTGGATGTGACACCATTAATGTGGATTAAGAAATCTATAAAAAGCTCAACCATGTAAAAATGACATCATCTTAACTACATTTGTCTTCTCTCAAAAAGCAAGCGAGAAAAGAAAACAGCTCGGTGCGTCTGAACGTCACCATCTTGGTGTTTTGAAAGCAGACATGGGGAACAGAGGGGGAGTCAATGAGAGACAAATTCTGGACAATGTCAGGAGAGTCAGGCTGGAAACAAATCAGCTATAGTTTCCTATCCTCATAATAGGCAGCAAAGCATTACTGGAAATACTGTTAGACGTGAGGAAGCAGCCGTGGCCGAGCACACAGCTGCAGTGAACCAGAGGAGCTGGCTTCCATGGTTTCTTTATTCCAAACGAACATCAAGCTGGAAAATGAAGAAGCTAGCAATCAGTGACACATCCAGGAAGCAGCAGTTTCCTTCATATACAATCATTTTCTTCTTATACATCTTATTTAAAATCTTCTTTCTTGGCGAGAACCTTAACACCAACTTTACATTTAACACTAAACTGAAAGGAAACGTCAGACCGTGTCAGGGTGTGTCTGTTTGGATCGATTTCAAACAATAAATAAATATTTTGATAAATATTTAGGTCGGTGCATCGCCATGGCGGCGGTACCTTTAATTTCTCTCCTCTGTACATGTAGCTTCAACAGCAGACCATGAAATTTTCTGTTGTGTGTGTGTTGGGGGCAGGGAGTAAATAAGAGGGTGGAGCTTATGGAACAATGACGAGCATATTGTAACTGTTTTCTTGTACGTGGGCAGAGCCGGTCACACAGGGCCATGAGGTCAGAACAGAGACGGCTCTCTCACCTACTGATATGTGTCTGGACGTGCCAAAGAAGGTGTACAGCAGGACCGGGTAGAAGGAGGAGTACAGACCATAAACAGGAGGCACCGCAGCCAGCATAGCGTAGGCTAGTCCTGTGGAGCAGGGAAGATAACACGTTTCCAAATAAACAATCCTGGAGGTTCAGTGACTCCATCACAGTGTCAAAGTGTCAGCGATGCCAAAACAGAGTCAGCATGAGGCAGAAACTGCTGCTCTGGAGCCGCAGCCGGCCCTGCTCGCAGCCTCGGTGCTGCACACGGCGCTGCTGCACAGTTCACTGACCTTGTGGAAGCTGCACGACTCCCGTGCTGAGACCTGAGACCACGTCTGAAAAGAGGTACTTCTTGACTGGATACGACGGCAGCCATGAGAGAATAGGCATGAAGCTCAGAGCTGCTGCCTTGGCCTTCTCTGAAGAACACCTGTGGATATTCAACACCAATCAGATTTTTAAAAGCCTCCACAGACAAAGTTTTTCTGGAGTCGCTTTCATGTTGTTGACTGCAGGATTCAAGAAGCCCCCTCGTGTTAGCTGAACTTTGGAATGACTCGTGCTTACAATATCCCTACTATACCTTTAATAGCAGCACCACGTGAGTTACACTGGTTAACAGATATTTGTTCTTTCTTACACCACAGAAATATCATTTCAGTGATAATGTTTGTTCTGCTGTTACAGATTTAAGCCCCAACATTCACCCTCACTCTGCACTATAGCCAAGAGTTATTTAAGAAACATCAATGTTTTACAACTTTATGACACTTTTGTTGTTCCCTCTGCAAAATGACAAGAAAGCATCTCTATAAATGACTCTAACGTGTCACTGTGTCGATTCCCACCCTGAGCTCTGCCACACCCTCTGCCTCGCTCCCTTTTGCCCTGCGTCCTGTGGATGGTTATGAGTGCAGACCCGTTCTTCACTAACTCCCGGGTTGCTCGCTGTGCGGTTCCAAAGCACATCTCTGCTTTTGTATGAAGACCTCCTCCTCCTCCTCAGCTCCCCTCAGTAAGCCCTCCCACCTGTCTCAGTCCCAAATTGCCAGCGAGCTGGCATTAGCATGTCATTTCCCAGCCTTGTTCGGGCGGCTTATTTAACCCCCGACTTCTCCCCCTTTTTGCTTGCCCAGCTGCATCAGTTCCCAAATAAAAAGCAGGGACAGAGGATCCCGGGTTTGTGCAGTTTAGCTCTGAATAACTTTTTCATTTGTTTTTAAATGTTAGAATGCAACATGATCTATTTGAAGATCAGTGTTGGAGCTTTTTTGCATTTTAATGTGTTAAACGTCTTATTTTTCCACTCATCTAAAGGACATTCGAAGGTTGCACATCAACTCCCACAGATTTCCCACTGTCTTCTGGCTTCAGTTTATACAGCACACTGGGATCTTGTGTGTGGATCTATGTCGATGCTGATCTGTTCAACGACATGTTGACAGGAAATGTCCAGAGAAAGACTTACTGGAACTTTTCTGCCAGCTTCTGACAATTTGTGGTGGTGTCTTCTTTGCGTTTAAGAAGCTGTGCCTGGATCAGAGTTTCATTGTAGACAGGACGCTCGATCCTGTAAATCAGCTGGGAGTCTTCATCCTCTCGAGCTGCTGCAGCCACCACTTCTTCTTCTTGCTTCATGGTAGAGGCCGGAGGGCTGGCGTAGAATCTATGTCCCATGTAGTTTATCTCTCCCGCTTTTTCTTCTCGGCTGGTATATCCTCATTCCTTAAACCTTTTCAGAGCAAGCGAGGACAAGACATGACAAGCTAGTTATGATTTCTACAAGCATGGGTGACGATAATAAGAAAGCCCTTTGCTATGCTGACAAAGATTTCAGTTTGATTTGCAATGATGCAACTTTCGAGTAAATATTTGGTCTCTGACCAGCTTATGTAATGGCTTGCATTAAGTCTGATGTACTGGGGGAAAGGTTTGCTGAATAAATCATAAGGCATAGAGTTTCCTCAGGGTAGGTGTGCAGTGTTTTACAGCTACAGGCAAACCTCTCTCCCAGAAGTCTTGCAACCACACGTCTTCATGGCCCACGATCCAGGAACAAAGCCATGCATGTGGGTAACGTTTATAAAAGAGGAAACACGTAGCTGGTCTGGTTAAGTACTTGGATTACACCTCGACATGGTGCCTTCAAAGTCAATCCAAAAAAACAAAAAAAATCAAATCTCTGGCTATGCAGATAAATAGTGAATGAAACTACTGTGATACTGTGAGAATAGCAGGCGACTGTTAGAAAGGTTAGAATACAGTTCTGTATTTGATATTTACATTAATTATTTATTATTTTATATATAATAATATGCAAATGAGTAACACTTGCTTGTTTTTCCCCGTGTGTGGAACAGGTCCTGAACATTAACAGACTTATGTCAGAGGTTTTATATATCATGCAGAATAAAGTCTCCTGTTCAGTCATTCTCGCGCCGACAGTTGAACGCCTCGCGCTTCTTCCCATTTCCTCTCCTGTGTTAACAGCTGTGTGGACAAATGTGTCTTTTTGCACTGAAAAAACTCTGGGTGGTAAACATCTCATGAACAACAGCAGAAAGTCACACAGCAGTGTGAGTCTAACCAAATATCCCAGCTCCAACAGAGTCATGCAAAAAAAGTAGGTTAAGCAAAGTTTGTTTGTCCTCTGCTGCACAACCTCTGCACAGGGGTATGCTTGCTCAGGTTTAACAGGTATTGGTCAACGTGAAATGGCTAGATAGAACTTTTTTTAGTATTATTTTTTTAGTATTTTATTTTTGAACTAAGTGAAAATAAAACCAGAGAAAACTCTGCTAATAGTCAGTTAAGTTGCTGAAGCAGAGACCGAGGGTGCTGCAGTGGTGCTCTCAGCTGAGTTTAAGTGGCTGGTTTGGCTTCCACTTTCCCCTCCTGGATTATGGAACTAACTCATGTTTAAAAGTGTATTTTTATATTTAAATGTATAATTATGAACAATAAAAGTAATGCATATTAATATTGTTGCATATATATGTATAGAAGCTCAGAGACCTGAAGTGCAACAAGCAAATATCCCTGATACCACAGCAGCAGCACCCTGATCATACTTTCATGTCATTTGTGCATAATTATAACTCTACTGTGAATGTTGCAGCACAAGTTGACACTCACCAGACTTTGCAACATTTTTCTAATTTTTTGCTATTTTGCTGAGCCCATATAAACCGTAGTCTCAGCTTGTTGCCACCAGGTGCAGTCTTCTGCTGCTGCAGCCCATCTGCTTCAAGGGTCCATGTGTTGTGTGTTCAGAGACACTACTTTGGTTGTAACTGTAGTTTTTACTTGAATTACTATTGCCTTCCTATATCAGCTCAAAGGAGTCTGGCTGTATTCCTCTCAAACTTAGCAGACTGATCATGTCTGCATGCCTAAGCATACCGAGTTGCTACCATGTGATTGACACATACACATGAGTGAGCAGTTGAACAGGTGTACCTAATAAAGTGGCCTGTGAGTGTATTCTGTGCTATACTTTTGTTTGACCGAGACAACAGAGACAGATACACAACAAGATTAAATCAGAGATAAGACAGAGCAAGACAAGGCACACTGGAAGTCCTACATGACATGTACATGTATACACAGAAACGTACATACTGCATGTAAGTGTGTATACAACTGAATGTGGGTACTTTTGTGTGCATTTGTGGGAGGGGTGCATATGGGAAGAAAACAAACAACAGATAAATAATCATGCATAACCCTCACCTGTCATGAAAATCGCCAATCAACTTTAACTACTTCTGAAAACCTGTTCTGACAAGATCATTTCCAGCATTTCATGGTTGCCCTCATTCCCATCCACAAAAGAAAACGATGTAATCGGCCTACACTCATTTTGTTCGAGGTAAAGGTTTCGTAGTGACAATAAATATCAGTTTGATGCTTTGTGGCAGCATATTTGTTTAACCTGAAAGAGGTCAACGTTCCCTGCAATGATTAGGTGTCAAATTTCTATACAAGTTCTTAAATGTTTAGCAGACACGAAAAATCAAATGAAGTTTATGTGTAAGTTCAATAAGGAAGGTCTGTAATGACTCATATGCCTGCTTATCTGTTCTTCACATCACTACCACTTTCCCACGTTTTCACTCTCAACCGTTACTCCAGGCCTCAAGGGCCATTGTCCTGCAGGATCGAGCCAATTTAAATGGCTAAATGACCTCCTCAACATGTCCTGAAGTTTTCCAGAGGCTGGTAATGAACTAGTCATGTGATTCAGGTGTGTTGACCCAGGGTGAGATCTAAAACCTGCAGGACACCAGCCCTCGAGGCCTGGAGTTGGACACCTCTGCTCTAGTCCAATCTTCTTCTTGCCTGCCTTCTTTGAGCCAATCAGTCTCCTCATTCTCCCACTTAGACTCTCATTCGTGCAACGCACCGCCTTCCCATCTCCACCTCACAGACAGCTCAGTCAGAGCTCCACCCAAGCCTTTCATTTCAGTCAGTTGCAGTGCAGTGTGGGGTTTTTGTTTTGTTTTTTCTAACCATATGTGGACTACAAGTATGGGTTTTCTGGAGAGACTGGCAATGTAATTCAAACCCATCTTCTTCACAAAGGATCCACTTAGGATCACTGTGTACGATTTGAGAATCATTCTTCTCAATCAAGCACAGGCGACGGACATGGCAGCTGCTGAATGACTCATTAACACAAAGAACTGTGTTCATTCCGAGATAATCTCCAGTGAGCCACTGAACCACACACCTGCCCATCATACAGTAAAAACCTACGAGGCGACCGTGGCTCAAGAGTTGGGAGGTCGCCTTGTAATCCAAGAAAATCACCTTCATGTTTTTCTGTTTTATCTTCAGCTACTTTGAGAGTTGGGAGTTCGTCTTGTAATCGGAAGGTTGCCGGTTTGAGCCCGGCTTGGACAGTCTCGGTCGTTGTGTCCTTGGGCAAGACACTTCACCCGTTGCCTACTGGTGGTGGTCAGAGGGCCC